GGTGTGTTGAAGTCTCCCACTACATATGTGTTTTCTCTGATGTCTGTTTTCAGAGAGGACAACAGTTGTCTGATATATTTTGGTGCTCTTTTGTTTGGTGAGTATATGTTAATGAGTGTTATTTCTTCTTGAAGTATTGTCCCCTTAATCATAATGTAGTGACCATTGGGGTCTCTTTTTATTTTTTTGAGTTTGAAGTCTGTTTTATCTGATATAAGTATAGCTGTTCCTGCTTTCTTTTTTGGCCCATTTGCTTGTAGGATTGTTTTCCATCCTTTGACTTTGAGCCTATTTTTATCTTTTGTAGCTAAATGTGTTTCCTGGAGACAGCAAAAGGTTGGGTTTTGTTTCTTAATCCAGGCTGCAACTCTGTGTCTTTTTATTGAAGAGTTTAGTCCATTTACATTTAGAGTTAATATTGATATGTTAGCATCTGTATTTGCCATTATGTTTGTCTTTCCTTTGATTTTATTTATTTATTCTTTTAATAACTTTTTTTTTTTTTTGGTCTTCTTTCGTTGTTATTCGTCCCTCTGAGGTTCTGGCTTTAGGATTCCTTGTAGTATTTTTGGAGTGGGGTTTAGTCGTAATGAAATTCCGGAGTTTCTCTTTGTCTGGGAAGGTCCATATTCTTTCTTCATGGAGGAAAGAGAGCTTTGCGGGATAGAGTATTCTTGGTTGGCATCTGTTTTCTTGGAGTCTGTTGACTATGTCCCTCCACTCTCTCCTTGCCCGTAGTGTTTCTTCAGAGAAGTCTGATGTCAGCCTGATTGGTTTTCCTTTGAATGTTATCTGTTTCTTCCCTCTTGTCAGCTTCATTATTTTTTCCTTGTCCTGGATTCTTGGGAGCTTTACTATTATGTGTCTTGCTGTGTTTTTCCTTTCGTCGTGGAAGTTTGGTGTTCTTCTTGCTTCTTGTATATCAATTTTCAGCTCCTTCTTCTCATTTGGGAAGTTCTCTTCAATTATATCCATGAATATTTTCTCTGTTCCTACATCTCTCTCCTCTCCTTCTGGAATTCCTATAACTCTTATATTTCCTTTCCTCATGGAGTCAGATAGTTCCCGAAGTCTTTCTTCATTCTTTTTCCTTCGTACTTCTCTTTCCTTTTCTGTTTTGGTTCTTTTTATTTCTGTGTCTTCAAGATTACTTATTCGTTCTTCCATTTCATCTATTCTGCTTTCATTGCTTTTCCCAGAGTTCTTTAGTTCCTCCATTAATTCTTTGATCTCCTGCATTTCTCTTACTTCCCTCTTTAGGGACTCAATTTCCTTCTTCTGATCTATCACTTTTTTAATCATGGCAATTTTAAATTCTCTTTCTGGAAGGCTCAGAAGTTCTTCCAAGTTGCTGTCGTTGCAATCTGGGGAGTGGTTTTCTTTTTGTGGTGTGCTTCTTTCCTGAGGCGTTTTTAGGTTGCGTGTGGTTCTTCTACTCCCTACTGTCTGTTTTCTAATTTGTCGTATGCGTTGGGACACTGTGTTGCTCGGACTGACTGACATCTTGGGTGAACTTCTCCGCTCCCCTCTGGCTCTTCCAGGAGCCATCTCTGTCTTCTGGGGGAGCTTTCTGCTGGTTTTAGGCAGTTTTTACTGAAGAAATGTCCCTGTTCTCAAATGGCGAAGCGGGATGCAGTCCCTGCGCCTCCGGTTTCAGGCACACTCTTCTGCGCACCCGGTCTGCCCCGGACGTGGGTGCCTGCTCCCTCTGTGGGCTCAGACTGCTGGTCGGAAGGGGCCTGGCGTGGAATAACTTCCCGGCTGGCCACTGGGTCCTCCAGAAACCTTCTGCCCTTTTCAAGCAGACTTAAGAAATGTCCTGTTTTATAGGGTGTTAGTGACTTTTTTTTTTCCTGGTCGCTAGGTGGCGCCAGAGATCTCTCCTATTGTCCTTGGGGGGCTGTTTTTCGCCTCCCCCCACCCCGTGGGACAGAGAACAGAGCGGGAATGGTAGGGTACACCTCAACAGCTTTGGGGTGCTGTTTCTGCCTTGTGCCCCACCGTCGTGGAGAAACCACGCCCCGAATTTTCGTGCCCCGGGTCTCAGTTCAAAGCCCTCAGGTCCAGGACGCGGGCTGTAGCCCAGTTCAGTGGCGCGGGAATGGCGCCTTTTGCACCCGGCTCCCGTGCCTGGGCGCCTGGTTCCTGCTTACTCAGGGAGGGACCTTCACCTCAGTGAGGACCTCCGTGCGTCTCCCCGCAAGCCTAGGTCGTCTCCCCGCAAGCCTAGGTCGCAGGCGCGGGGACCTGGGCAGCCGCGATCCCGGTCTGCACTTGCTTTTCAAGCTCGCCAGGCGCGCCGCGTTTCCCGTGCAGGCTTACCGGCAGCCCGGGCTGTGTGCGCGTCTCCCGGGGTCTTTGTTCTTCTCTAATGGCGCCCGGAGCGGTTCGCTCACAGCTGCGGCGGATCCTGCAGGGTTCGCCTCAGCTCCCGTTCACGGGGTGTGGTGGCTGCAATAGTTCCTTTCCACTCACAGTCCCGCTTGCTGCGTCGTTTGTTCTTGTTGGTTGTTTTGGTTTGTTGTTTCCTCCTCTCTGCTGGTCGGAGAGTGCCGCCTCTGTGGGCGGGGGAGGGGAGCAGGGTTCTGCGCTTCCCTCCCTTCTAGTCCTCTTTTATGGCCAGTTTCTTCTTCGGGCAGTTCGCTGGCGTCACCCGTTTATCTTCCGTGTCCCAGTTCTCACTGGGACCTGCCGCTTTTCCTCCCTATTCACTTTTTTTAATGGGAGATCTTACTCGCAGTGTCTCCTCGCCGCCATGTTGCTCCGCCCCCTCTACTTCTTTTTTAAATAGTTTTCATTTATCTGCTAAAATTTCAAGCTTGACCCTTATCCCCTACTATGTCAATATATTTATCATAAAGTCTCTGTCTGATCACTCAAATCTTGATCCCTCCATAGTCTTTTAAAATTTTTATTATTTCTACTGGTTCTCAGTCATGCTGCCTTGTTTCCTTATGTACCTACTTATATTTACTTCATACTTAAATATTAAAGAAGTAATTTGAAGTCTAGAGTGACTTTTTTTCCTCCAAAGAAAACATTTATTTCTATTTGGAAAACTGGATTCAGGATTATGTTGATTCAACACAGACTTCCGTTTTTGTGAGTTACCTCAATTCCAGTTTCCTCTTATTTCAAGGATTGGGATCCTTTGGATCCCAGATTGTTTACATTTGTTGGTTCTGAATTCTGGCCTTTTTCCGCAATCCAGTAATGTGCTGCTGTAGCTCTTATCTCATCACCCCTCTACTGCCTCTTCCTGAGTAAAAAAATGTATCAAGTGGACTGGCTCACCAAGCTGAGTTTCTGCCTCCCCCCTGATCTTAGTACAGTAGTTCTTTGCTACTGAGTTAGTTCTTCAGGGTCATCACTCAGGTTTTTAATATTAGTTTTCTTTTGCTCATCTTTACTCATTATCATCAAATAGTTGAAACTATTTAATCCATCATTACCCTTTTGCAGGAATTTGTGGCATATTTTTTATCTATTCTTTCTCAAATCTTTATTCCAATTTCCTTTAAATTTTGTGTTTTCTTGTTTCAAAGTGCTATGCTGCCAAAGGGCCTTAATGTCTAACAATTTACTTATTCAAAAAACTCTTTATAGTCACCAGTTAAATTTGCTTAACTTAAATAAATGCATGATACAAGTTTTCTATATGTTGTAGTCTATCCACTACCACCACTTGGTGTATTCTGCCCTGTATAATTGGAATGCTTATGTTTCTGCCTTCATACCCTCTAATCTCTGCTAATAATCATTTTCTCAGGAAAGCCTTTCTAAAATTCTGTGATTCCATTACAGCCACTATGTATCTTCCTATAGGAATTAGTTTGCAAAATAAATTATTTTACTTCATTCTCTTTAAATCTAAATAAACGTAACATTGAGATCCCATCTTTCTGTGCTGCTGGAAAATTCTTCATTCATTTTCTAGATGGGGTTCAGGGGTTCCTTTCTTGGCTTATCTAGATTGATTTAAGAATCCTGATGGACCAGAGGTGGGGGGCAGTAGGTGGTGTAAGAACAAGAGGGAAGGAAGCATAATGGACTATGGTTGGGGGCTATGCGTGATACAGTAGTGGGTGCACTATAGTGATGATACCTGATGGGGGGGGGTCCTCATGTTACCTCAAATAAAAATACATAAATAAATTTATTGAAAAGAATAAGAAGAGAATCCTGATGCTTCTGTCTGAGAACTGGAAACATTGTATATGTATGTATTTAGCCCATTGTAGTCATCCTGATAACCTCATTGTTCAAAGCTCACATGTTCACTTGAAGTCAAGTGGTTCCAAGTCTTCCATGCCAAGACTGTGCACAGGAAACACTGACAAGACTAGAGCCTTGACTCTTGATGTCCAGCTCCCCTAGGGGCACATCACAGTTCTCCCTACTTCCAAAAATAACTGCTAGTCATGTTTTCCTGCTGCTTGAGATACATACTAATACCATTCCCTTCCTGGTCTGGAGGAATTCCCTTCCCCGGTGACATTCTTCCCATACTCCTCCCAGTAAAAACTTCTCAGCAAGTTCAAGCCTTTAAAGGAAAAATGGCCTTTAAAGGAAAAAAAGCTTGCCCTTGGGAGAATTCTGGACCTGACCTTGCACATAAATCTCCCCTTAGACAGGAGATAGAAAGCAAGCAACTGGCAACCTTCTGAAAGAGCAGAAGAGGGAAGAAGGCAGCAAAAACAAATCACAAAATAATGTCACTAAATTATCCTGCCAAAAGTTTAGATCCCTTATTTTCATTTTTAAACACATATACCTCTCCTTCTTACTGTTTCCATTTTAAATTTATCTGTATGATTATTTTAACATTAGTCTCCTTTCCCCCATAATGTGATCTCCGTGATCACACAGATCATTAGCTTTAAGCATTAATAGAGTCTTAATAGCTAACATCAATCTGGAAAAATAATCATTCAATAAATATTTGCTGAACTAATGAATCAGTAAAAAGACCTAAAATGAAATGTTTTGTTTTCTTGTAGCTATCTCCTATGTATAATCTGGTTCCAGTGAAAATGAAAGATGCACACCTAAAGAAACAAAATTTGGAAAGAGCCATTGGAGACTATGTCAATGAATTCAGTATAAGAAAATGCCAGCCATGCCAAAATGGAGGCACATTGATTCTGCTTGACGGACATTGTTTGTGCACCTGCACAATGTTATTTGACGGACTTGCCTGTGAAATCAGTAAACAAAAAATTAAGGTGAGAACACCTTAATGATGAAAATATGCATTTTGCAGCTATTTAATTTGAAAACTGGCTCTCGAATTAATTTGTACTTCTAGATTATCAATGTAAACAGACTAAAAATCAAATGAATAGTAAAAATGGAAAATTAGTCTTCATATGCCATTTACATGCAGTTTTAACATTTTGTATCTCAACATTTAAACCGAATTATTAAAAAAATTGCTGTAATTGTATTATTTTTTCTTATGAATTTTTATTTTTATTGGGGAGTAAGGGGTAGGTCGGGAAATGTTGCCAGGGGTATGCCCCATGAGTAATTGTATTATTTTAACTGTAAAAAAGTTTCTATAAAGAGAAAAATTTACAGAATAATAACAAACATCCAAGCACTCAACATCCAGAATTAGCAAATGTCAACCACATGTACATCATATATGCTTCATACATGTACATATATCCTATTTGCGTTTGAACTTATATATATATATATATATATATACACATAAATGCTTCTGAACTTCTTTTTAAGAAAAATAATTAGAGACACAGTAGAGTACTTTGTACCACATCTCCTTCCCCTAGAAAGCCCTGGTGCATTCCTCTCCCACACACCTCTCAGATACAGTCACTTTCCTTACCTAGTATCTATACAATTCATGTTTTTGTATTTGTACTAAATGTCTATGTAGAATAAAAATTCTGTATTGCTTGGAATATTTTTAAGATTTACATAAATGATATTGGCTGAATTTTAACTTTGATAGTTTAACTCTTCTAGTGTTTATGCACTGTTTTTTATGTGTAGTCATTTGAAATCATATTTTTCAAGTAGGAAAAAGTTTAGCCATATTTCTAATCATAAGAGGATCTGATTAGTGTTTGACCTGGCAGAAATAATTAGAATCTTAGCATCTTAGCAGATATATGAGAGCTTAGCCTAAGAGTTACTCCCCACAACATAGCTAGTAAGTTGTCTTCCTATGACAATCACAGCTTGCCTTTTTTTTTTTTTTTTAAGATTTATTTATTTATGCTAACAAGAACTGGGGTATTGGCCAAAGGCATGGGAGGTGAGAGGATTCACCAGAGACAGAGTGGGGAACAGAACAGGCAGATTGACCGAAGTACAATGTTGAGGGGAGCAGCGGGCAAGCCAGGAAAGGTCTGCTGAGTCATGTGAGTAGCTTCCTGGCCGGAGATCGAACTCGTGCTGCAGAGACTGTGGACAGCTTCACAGTGCTGCGCTCAACCCCTTGTGCCACCAGGGAGGCCCTTGGCTTTCTTACTGAACAAACACAAATTCCTGTAAGAAAATTTCTAAAACAACTCTATATTTTCCTAAAAAAAAGATTCAGTGTCAAGTTTTGTGTTCAACCATATTTTCAACTCTTACAATAATATTTTTAATGTTACAAGACTAATTTTGATCCTTTCTAGTAAACACACTTAGAATATGGTGGGTATGATAACAATCCACATAAGCTAACATTTGACTTAAAGTTAGAATGATCGATTTATAAATATATACTTACTGTAACATCTCATATCTCTAAAGTGTCCATCCTTGGAATGCTTTGCATTTCAAATAGCAATTGTACTGTCCAAAATTCCGTGCTACGGGTACTCACCATCTCTATTTCCTTGGCTATTATGAATATTTTGCTCTCTGAGTTCTTCAGCTGTACTTTCTAATTTTCCAATTCTCTTTTTTTTTTTTTACCAGCTACTTTGATTCCACCCTTTAGTGAATATATTGAGAAATTTTATTCAGTTATTTTTCTGAAATCACTGTTTGAATATTTTTCAAACTTTACTATTCTTTTTCTTTCCTAACCTATTGGATGATTTCCCTACTTTTATCATTTTTAACAAACTAAACATGTTCATATGGAAGTCTCTCTCAGATTGCTCCAGAATATACCATTTCTGTAGCACAATTCTCTGCCTATTAAGTCTGCTAACTCATTCTCCTGACATTTTTTCTTCCTTGAGTACTTAGCAACTTTTTATTTCAGGCTTAGTCTTCAGTGGAAATTGTGTCCTGTAGGGATCCTGGTTGCTCTGGGTAGTGAAGTTATGCCTCTGATTAGCTGCTTTTTTGGAGGTCTTGCTGTCGTCATCAGATTTTTATGTAAATTATTGATTCATGTTCTACATCATGTGTTTCTAGGACAATAAATAAACAAGTGCCCTCTCCCTTTTTATGTAACATTTTATCAGTACACCAGTGGCTCCTGTTGGCTTTTCACACCTGATCCAGTCTGGCCTACCAGTTGCTTGCTGAGACCCCTCACCCTGAGAAAAATTTTCTTGCCAAATCTTTTCTTCAAAGAAGCTCTTCAAGGCATCCAATTTCATCAGAATGTTCTGTTTCAGCTTCCCACTTAAAGTGGAGCTAGTGGATCATGGGACTGAAGACCCTGAGACATAATTTTTCTTCGTACATACTATTCACTTTCTCTGGACTGCCCTCCAACCTTCTCCTCTCTTCACCCAATCCAAACATCCTCGCTGTTTTTCAACAGTGTGTTTGCACTCCTTCTAGAACAGTGTTTCTCAACCTGATTGTTCATTAGATTTCCCTGATGAACTTTTTCAAAAGGTCTAAAGCAAAACAGATACCATCCCAAGCCAACCAAATGAGAGAGCCTTTGCTGTTGATCCTGACAGGACATGGTTATTTTCTTCTTCTTTTTTTTTTTTCATCCTCTAATCTATAGTCAAGATTGAAAACCCCTTTGCTGGATCCAACCCAATTAACCTCTCTTAGGTGAATTTTCACCAATTTTCCCAGGTCCCTCTCTATGTTCCTGGAGCATTTTGCCTTCTGCTCCTCAGCACTAATCACATTCACTCTCCCTACACAGATGAATGACCCCGCTAGTTTGGAAATGTCTTCTGTCTTAAACCTCATTCCATTCACAGCACCTAGATAGTGTCTGACACATCACAATGCAGCAGAGAAAGGGGGTGAATAAATGGAGGGGTGGATAGATGCAAGTTGAAGTCCCATTAGTTATGTAGAGTTGATAATCTGTTGTTTTCTCGAGTATTGCCTGCCAAAAAGAAAACGACTTGTTGGCTTCCCTGGGATCATATGGAAGGAAAAACACCAGGACTTTCCAATACATATCTGCCCCCGGAGATAGTCCTTGCTGCCAAGTAGAAAGCAATATATTTCATAAAAATCTCACCAAAGTCTGAAGTCGCCTTGCTCTAAGATCCAGAATGTTTCTTTTCCTTCTTAAGCTCCTATGATGTTTCCATTTGTTATGCCCTAATGAGGAGAGTCAGCAGTGAAATATGCCAGGACTGCTTTCTCCCACAGGCAATGCCAATCTCTAGCTAACAAAACAAAATTAAATTAAAAAGAGAATGTTGGTTAGAAAGACTTTAAAGTAATTGCCAAAGTGCTTTGTATGATTAATATGTTCCACCAGTTCCATTACCACAAGTCTGGACCAGGCAGTTTCGCTCATGTTTTCATAATTGGTCTTGTTTGGTTGTTCGTCTATACGTGCATGCTTTGGCTCGGCCAGTGCTGGGAACCTACCACAGGCACAACATTCTGCTCTCCTTAGTCTTAGCTCTCAGCTCAACTCATCATCTCCAAGGGAAAACACTTGTATTTGTAGTCAAAAACTATCTATCTCAATTATGTGAATTTGCTACTATTTGGTCATATTTTACAAAAAAAATGCAAAATGAAACAAAAAAAACAGAAGTTCATAGATCCCACTTAATAGCTAGCCTTATGAGTGGCATAAGGTAAGGCTGCCCACAAGAAGTTTATGGGAACTGGCTATACAACCTTGTTCATTAGAGACTATATACTTTATACCCTGGAATTTTTGAAAAGGTTTGGGGAAAAACTGGTAAGAAATGCTCAGCTACAAAGAAGAAAATGCAAAATCAAAAAATGTTCCGTTAAATGTCAACAACATTATCACTATGTCAACGTTATTAACTGTTAATCTTAATAAGAATTTTGTACATTTATAAATAAATTTTAAGTTAGGTTTTCTCACTTCCCAGGAATTCTCAAGTATGCACACGATTGCTGAGGGAAAACAGTAGCTAGACTATTGACTGGCAAATAATTTCAAAAGCAAAATTTTCAAAAAATAATTTTCAAGTTTCTTTCAACTGCAAAGAAAAAGGTTATTGAATGTGCTGTGCATTTTAATATGTTAGGTATGGTATGGAGAGGAGTTCTAAAAATAAAAGGTGCTTTATGATATTAAAATAGCCCTGAGAGGGCCTCCCCGGTGGCGCAGCAGTTGAGCACTGGGTTGTGAAGCTGCCTGCAGCCTCTAAAGCACTGGTTCGATCCCCGGCTGCTCCCCGGCCACTGGAGGAGGGTCCCACATGGCGCGCAAACCTCTCCTGCTGCCCGCTGCTCCCCTCAGCAGTGTACTTCGGTCCTTCTGCCTGCTCTGCTCCCCGCTCTGGCTCTGGTGAATTCTCTCACCCTCCCGTGCTTCTGACTGTACCCAGTGCTTGTATAAATAAATCTTAAAAAGAAAAAACTTTATAAAAAAAAAATAAATAAAATAAAAAAATAAAATAGCCCTGAGAGCTCAGGAGAATTCCCGTTTCCTGCCCCCAGAAATCTGGGTAAATCAAAAAATATTAGGATTTGTTAAATCTGAGTAAATACTGAACTCTGCTCTTAAATAATCCATTGTTGAGCTTTTGGCACAGAGGATCTGAATGAGGAGGAGTTATAGTAACTACTGACAATTTCTTACCTTGTAATCATAAAGTCAAACAAGAAAAGAGCTGAAATTTGACCAGACCTCAAAAGGTCGGCCTAACGATTTGCCAAGATCCCCTGTACTGAAAATGGGGGCTAAGACGCCAGTTCACTGTTCACAAGAGAGCCTCCGACTTCCTTCAAAGGTGACCTATCTGGTAAAGCATTTCCAGCAGGGGGCATTATTGAAACACCAGAAACCACCCAACCAGAAGCAGCACAGAGGAAAAAGCCCCGGGCCTGAAATGGGAAGAATTCCAAGAAACAAAGAGGTGTGGGCTTCTAGCTACTTGGCATTGCAACCACAGTCTACTTGTAGCTGGCAAAAAGCAGACTCCTGACAAGGAAACTCTTAGTTTGGCACACAGAGCACAATATCACCACTCCCAAGGTCACAAGATTTCTGAGGGTACAACCCACAAATGGAAGGAATGGGACGTG